ACGCCAATGCGAATAAATAACGTTAAGTGCTGTCAACATTCCACCAGCTATAAAATTTGGCTAATCAATGTTTTGTTCACAATAGCGCCAAATCATTTTTGTTTAAGCATCAAAACCAGATAGTCAATCAATTATTTCACTCTTAGAATTAAAGCAACAAGATATTTTATCTTAGAATGATTCAAGAACTCAATATATCTTATGGACGTTAAAAAATGGAAGATTTTAAAGAGATCAAAGAATTCAGTAGAAGAAGAAAGAAATCTGTTAAATGAAGAATGAAGTTGAAAATGATACTAAAAGAACGAAAATTAACTCAGTTGAATAGGTTAAAAAATTAAATTGAAATTTTGCAGGTAATCAAAATCAAAAGGAGGATAATAATAATGATTAATAAGAAAAATTCGAAGATTAAAATAAAATGTATGAATGACTTATCTATAATTTTATAAATACATAAATATATTATTAGGCTATTAATTTTGATAAAATATTGTTCTTATATCAATAAACACAAAGTGAGAATTATAAAAATAATGTTTCATTAGACAAGTAGTTGTAATTAATATTATGTATGAGTTAGTTTGAGTTAAAGTTATGAGGATCATATATTATTAGTTTAGTAGTTTAAACAAATGAAAGTGAAGTTGTCATTTCTAATAATTTCAGTTTAGGATGTGAAACATCTAATAGAGGAAACTTAATAGACTGATTAAGTGACTGAAAAGTCAAGAATGAAATTTAATCCTAAATTCGTTTGGATATTAAATTATTCGAATCCAGAAATGCTCCACTTTAAGTTTCATGTCGGAATTTACGTGTTGAAACTCGCAAGAGAACACTAGACTTTATATATTGATATTAAGAGGAAAAGATTAAGAGAGATCAGCATACTTTATTACTACGTACTATTGAGTATAATGCTTGAAATTGTGAAAGGGTGATATATATAAATGTTGGGAAAGCGGAGCTAATTGGAATGGGAATTAATTTTATTAATTTAAATGATTATAGTTTAAGAGAAATCTAATTAGTTTCTACTCATTTTGCTAATCTTTTGTTTACTAATTAACGAAACGCCCTTTTGTCATTTTGGCTATGCATCGTCTAACCTTAATCTTGGGAAATGGTTCTTGACCAATTGAAAATCCAATTTATATAAGAAATTGTACAAATAAGTCTAATGTTTAAGGAATATTTTTCTTCTACAGATGAGCTAATTGTAGGAGTAGAAATTAATCATCCGCTTTAATCCATTATTATATGTACTACTGATATTGCTTGAACTATTTTAAAAGGTAAAGGACTATTAATAGTTTTAAAAATGATAATTCTAGAGCTGCTTAATTAATTGTTTAAAAATTACAGGATATGAAATAAGAATTTTAATTAATGCAAGATCTCTGAAACTTGGAAAAAGGCAGCATATTTGGCAACTAATATGAGAGTTTCTCATTTATTCTTAAATACACTATTAAGTGCTTATATATAAGTCGTCATGCACTAAAGTCTGCAAGTCTAGATTACACCTCACATGCTAGCTAAAATACATACATCATAATTATTCTATATCTTTGGTATTCTTAACAAAAATTGAGACAAATTATGGTAGACTCCATTGGAGCCCTGAATCTACAAAAAATATTTGTTTATCTGTATAGTAATAGTTAATTAATTCTAAAATACATTCATAGATAATTTGTTCCTTCCTTCTTAAGATATCTCTAAGGCCATCATAAGCAATGTGGAACAAAGATTTAGATTGATTCTCCATTCAATCATTCGCGAGATCGCAAATAGTAATTAATGGATGGGATCTTAGTTATTGTATTATTGCCATATATTTTGCCTGTAAATAATTTCTCTTTCCCATAATATTCTACATATATTTGACCGATTACAGGGAACTATTTCTATGCAATCAGCTTATATTTCGTCAAAAAGAGAGTCTAATAATTAGAATTATTGTTTGTAGAGAACTGGAATTTGTGGAATTCCCTTCTCATAGATTATAAAATAGTGAATCGCTTCTAATATCCAGTCGGACTAGATTAATTATTAAAGGAATATTCAAACCAAACTTGCTGGGCTTATGAATTTTCAATTTATGCTGTTATCTATCTTTATTATTAAAATACTATTGTTATAATATCGATGAAATTTTGTTGTGTATTTAATTCTCGGTTATTAATAACTCCATATCAGCAGGCACGTATGAATCTTAATTCGTTTCTATCTTCAATGACACTGTATAGTTTATGAAAATGAAACTTCTGAATGGAAATTATTGGAGGATCTAAACAAATTAATCTCACTTACTCTATCTGATATTGATTGCGATTCGTTCTTTTACTACTAATTGATAGTTAAAGTATCCTTATAAGACTAGTTGGTGCATCATCATTTGACTCAATTTCCCTTAACTCATAATTTCTAATTATTATATCACATTACAATTGATATTGAGAATATAAGATTTTTTGCAGTTTAAATTATTTATATTTAATTAAATATTTATTAATTAAAATGATTTAATCGAAAATGATAGAAAAAGAAGAGGAACTTCAATGCTCTTTAAAACATAAACTTCCTGTTCTTATGATTGCTTGTGATAGAAAATTAAAGAGAAACTAGAGACTTTTATGCTCTGAATGCATGGAAAATCTTGAATCAAAAGCCCAATTAATGAGTTTTAAAAAAGTCCTATAGAATATTGAGGAAAATCAAAAATAAAAGAAAGAAAACGTTGAGAATGTGATAATGGGTAGTATCAAACTGATTGAAGAACTCTAAAAAGATCTTTTTTTATTAAAATCTAATGTTGTTTAATCATTAGATTAAATAATTGGAAATGTAGATGAATGGATCAGACATATAATATTAATTGGGTAATAAAATGTTACTTATAGTTTTTATAATGAATTGGATAATCTTATTAATTAAGAAAGATTAGCAGAATTCGGTTAAAAATAACTAATTGATCAAATTAATTAAATTTAATAATCTTGGAATCAAAAAATTGAAAAGAAACTAAATCTATTTAAATAATTTTCAGAAGGTTAAAAATGCAAAAACATATTACAACAATTAATAGATGTCAATGAAACAGAAGAGAATTAAGGAAAGATAAAAGTGACTTAAGAAAACTATGAAATTAGTATTTAGAATTTTTAGGAAATGATTTAAGTTGAGAATAAATAGAAGTAATTAGAATAATAATTGATGATGTATAAATAAGTTCAATTTAATTTAATTGATGATTCAAATTAATAGATTGGAATATGTTTTGCAATAGTGTTCAATAAAGATGGATCAATTATGATTTCATGTGATAGTAATGAAATTAAAATATGGAATTTTCAATAAGGAACATTTAAATTATCTAATTCTTATAATAAACATAGCCAAGCTGTTAGTTGTTTAGTGTATAGCAAGAAAACAAATAACTTTATTTCTGGTTGTTACAATAACTAAATTATATGTTGGTAATAAATTAATCAAAATGAGTGGAAGTGCTCATAACCATTTGAATAACATGATATTGTTCATTGTTTATTATTAAATAAATAAGAGGATCAACTCATTTCAGGAGGAGATGATCGTAAAATAATAGTATGGAAAGTAGATTTTATTAACAATGATCTGACTTTTCTGTATTCCTTAGATTAACATACCAATAGTGTAAAGTCATTGAGTTTTAATTAATCTGAAACTGTGTTGGCATCATGTGGTTATTCTCATTTTATAATATGGGAGAAAGGATTGTAAGGGAAATGGGAATTTAAATATAAATAGGATGTTTCATTATACGGAAATAAAATCCATTTCATGAATGATTATCAATTTCTTTGGGTAAATGGTTATAAGGATGATATTTTGGTATTTGAATAATAGAATGGAGTTTTTTAAATAGAATTCAAATAAAACTATTTCTTTAATTAAGAATAATCAATGTGAAGATGATTATTACTTTCCAATAATACATAATAAAGATAGAAATGTGATATTGGTAAGACACAAACATCATATCTATTTGATTAGACAATTAAATGATGGCACATTTAATATTCTTGCATCATTAGATTCTAAAACTACAAAAACTTTTGGAACTATCACCAATAATGCCTAATATTTACTATTTTGGGATAGGAAATTTCAAAAATATTCATCATATGAAATATAATATAAATGAAGCATATATGTATTTATCATTTTTATCATAATTAAATGAATTATTTTCATTATTATTTAGAATTTTAATATTAAAAATTTATCATTTTTAAACTAAAAAGGGTTAAGATAGTGATGAAATGTGTATCTATTATAATAATAATATCTATGATATTTTCGGAAATCAAAATACTAATTTTGATTTTGAAGTTAGACAATATTTAAATTTTCTTTCATATAAAGTTTACTATTTAATTTGCTTGTTTTCCTCTTAAGTCTAGAATTATTACAAAATGCATTCCAATTCTAAAGATAGGCGAAATAATAAAAAATTAAGTTTCTTGAATCATATGAAAAATAAAAAATATAATCATATTAATTTGAAATATTTTAGAAATTATTATTATGATATGAATCTAAAACAGAGAGTTATATTGCACCAAAATCCCATTAATTTTAAAATTAATTAGATGACAGATTCTTAAACTCAAACTAGATTAGGGATATTAAATATCAAAAATAATGTTTATCCAATTAGTTAGGAACTATAAAGGAGTTTTTTGGATCTTTAATAGAAAACAATTTGATCCGATATTCGAAAAACAATGCAAATTATCGAATGTGAGAGTTTCTTTTTTCAAAGTGATATATAATGGTTAAGGTTGCGAAATAGAGGAACAGCGATGTAATTTAATTGATTAGAGTATGATATGGCTCATAATATATTTGTTTTATTTTCGAAACAAAATAAATTTCATCTAATTTGGAAAGAAATAATCCAAAATTAATATCAACCCCACCTCGCAAAGAGACAAAGGCGACAGCAAGCAACGAGACCAGCCACCAACGCGGACAAAAAACACAAAGATCGACAGGACAGACACAAGAAGAAACCAAACAAGCACAAAAGGAACCCACAAAAGAAAGAAAACCAAAACGAAAGAAATCAGGGGGAAGACCAACAAGAAA